TGCAGTTATTCCAGTTATAGTCAGTAACTCCTGGCTTAGATAACAAGCTCCAAATGATTTTGGAGTTAGCAACACAGCACGTAACTGCAAGTTTACAACACATACTTTTTGGAGTTATGCAGTAACTCAAGGCTTAGATACCTAGTTTTTTCATAATTTTTGGAGTTATAGTTTATTATAGCTCCAAATAAGTTTTGGAATTAGTCAGTAACTCCAGGCTTAGCAGGATGCCTAGCTTCTAAATTATTGTTGGAGTTATACCTAGCTCCAAATGATTTTTGGAGTTAGCCAGTAACTCCACAATTCATATTTCAACTCAGTTAGTTTTGAATTACAAAAGTTACTCAAGTGCATATTTTGGTTTGGAGTTAGCCCTTTAGACTTTGGAGGTAGCGTCACTCCATAACTTCTAGCCTGCAAGCAGGCTCTCTGGGTGAAAGAGAGCCTGCAAGTATCCCTATGATGACTGCATGCCGCCCTTCGATTAGGATGTCACAGGTCAATTAATAATAACCAATCAGCGCAGACCGGAAATACACTTCAATATTGTAAACATAAACCAATTTTATATTGTATTCTTTCGTTTATAGTTTCGTATACAGACCGCCACTGGGGCATACTAAAAAAGTTAAAACGGCTCAAGGTTTTACAGTGTAATTTTTGTACTTTTTATTACAATCTGCATGTGTTTCTGTAGGCACAGTAAGTTTAAAGTTGTATATTACCCGCTAACTAATTCAGTTGTTTGGAATTGCTTCATGCTGCAATCGGCAATAAATATATATATATATATATATATATATATATATATATATATATATATATATATATATATATATATATATATATATATATATATATATATATATATATATACAGTATAGTAATAAATTGATAATATAACTTACTGAAATTTATGGCTTTGGTGAGACACAGACATACATGATATACCATGGACATTGGACATAATTTAATAATATGTTTATAGTTCAAATTTTGCAACAAAAGGTGGAATTACAGTAAACATGCATGTGATAATTATTGTAAACAAAGTGACGAGTAAATTACTGTACATTTTAACGCCGCATACTTTAATATAAATATTAAATAGTCAGTATAACATTGTAAAACAAGCTTAATACAAACAATATGCACTGAATATTATCAGAATAATTCTCCATATTGTTTCATGAAAGAGAAGCGATATAATGCCTTGTCCCTAGGTTTCGGTTTGTGAATTTGTTCAGTCTTTTCTTAGCCTAGAAGTCAGACAAGCCCAGGACACTAAATAAATCATGCAAGCTTTTAGTATTCGTCTTTATATGAATAATATATTAATTTACAGTAAAAAGTCAACAAGGATACAAAATACATGACACTTTTATCTCTACATTGCAGCAATTCCGAAGCTTTGCGTTGCTCGGTTTTACAAACGGGAAGTGTAGTTTACGGAAGCTTGTCAATCACTTTATTTGAATCAGTTATCAACCAATCAGAGCTCTGCGTCCAAATATTGGACGCATGCACTTAAATATCATAGGGATCCTTGCAGGCTCTCTTTCACCCAGAGAGCCTGCTCGCAGGCTTTTAGGATGTATTTTTGGAATTTTGAATGCTTTTATTTTAACATTTAAAGCATGCATTTGTATGCTGTTTACAGAAGAACTGTGATGAATATTTGTGCATATAGCAGTTTTGTCCGCTTTGGTGCCTCATACAAATTACTTACTTTCCCGGCTGGTTTAAAAAACCTATATATATTCCATGTGTGGGACACCAGAATGACATCTGTCACATCTGAATAATTTGGTTAAAGGATCGAGCCTCAGGCAAAACTGCAGGGTGCCGCCTTATTTAGTAGGAATTTTGCATACTCACATGCTGCACACATAAATCCCAGATTTATTGCAATCATCCAGTTTCACCCTCATCCCAACCAGTAAGAACTAGCCTTGCAGGCCATAATTTTCTCAGGTGGTTGACATAGGGTCAGATTACATAATAAAATGTCCATTGGACTGTTCCATTTGTTCATTGGACATTTTGAATAGGTATTGGAAATACATAGTCAACATTCACTCACAAAAGTACAAATTGTGATTGAAAATATTAAAATTTCTTTGTTGTTTTTGGTCAACAAAAAAGTCTAGAAGTACATCCTGTTATGAATATGTGCATCAGTGCATGTTAATACTCATATTCACTCACGATATGCACAATATATCAAGTAATACTATAAATTATATAAATTCCAAGATCCTATTAATCACAAACATGTACTATATAATTATAAATCAAATATTTACTGAGATACTGTATAAACGTCAAAATGTGTGAATTACAAGTACTCCCATAGAACAAAATGTCTTTATGATCCCTGGTACTATACAAACCTTTCTGGTTGCTCCGTATTTAGAAATACCACTGTTATCAAAGACATGACACGTTAGATTCGTTGTTCCAACATCTACAGCTAGTACACAACTTGCAGATTTCTTTGCCATATTCTCCTACTATTTTATACCGTTATAAAATTCAATGGAATATATTACAACTAAATTAAAGAAAAAATATGCTAAACATTGGGCGGATGTTACATTTCTATGTATTTGCATTTCTGTGTATTTGCATTTTTGTTTGCATTTTTGTAATTTTGTTGTAATTTTTGTGGATGAAATAGATATGCGCCCGCGTCGAAATTGACCAGTGGTGAACTTTTGGAATGGAATTTGAGATTTGATTTGAAATGAATAGATTTTAGGTTTTTATTTAGTTTTGAAATTTGCAGGTTTGAAATTAGTGAAATCACTAGTGATCACACTGATCAAAGTGTTTCATGATGTAAAGGCTTGTGTAAAGGTAAAATTGAGTATTTATGTTATTTATTTGATTGTATACTTTTGTGTCTGTTTGCTCACCACTCTGTCCACTCACACTCACTCTGTCTCTCATTTTAATTGTCTACTCAAAACTACGAATTGTTAAAGATGCGGTAGAGTCCGTATGTAAACAAATTAAAAAAAGGCTTTGTTTACATTTCGGTATCCAAAATATTGAATTTTATTCGACAACTATTTATATTTTCATGATTCTAGAGTATAATAAATTATCAAGCTTAATAAAATGAAATAAAAACCTAAATAAACTGTTTGTAAATAAAAAGAGGGCTCCTTTGCCAAGATGGAAAGTTTGTTTATTGTGCGCCAAAGATTAGATCAAGGTTCAGTATAAACATGCGCCAGTGGCCCGGACAAATCCTGTTTTATAAACATATTCACATGTGCCGCCGAATTGCATTATCAACACTTTTAGAATGAGACAGAACAGATTACTAAGCATTTGAAATATGGGTCAGTCTGTGCTCAATCAAATTCCTTTTATTAAATGGCTGAAATACAAACAGAAATGGTTGAGAACATTGTAGTGTCCACAACTAAATAAAATTTTGTATGCCAGTGTGCCACACCAGTCAAAATGGAGCAAATTAATAAAGTTTCCACGCCGAAGATCTTTGGCGCAACCTACAAACTTTCCACCCTGGCTCCTTTGTGCACATGTGCAGATCGGACTGTACTGCATGAGGTTTTTGTGGCTTACCTCGACCTTGATAATTCCACTTATCACAAAAACTGAATTCAATAATTGTTTTATTGTACATTTGTTTGTGTTAAATAGATAGTACCGCTTGCTAATGATCGCAGGCTCATTTGCAGATAACTCAGTTATCTGCCAGCAGATAACTGAATTTTCTGTAGGTTGCGCGTGATTGCGCGATTTAACTGTAAGCCAGTTAGCCAATCAAATTGCTTTTACCAACTACAATGTATAATAATTTGTATTATTATACATTGTATTTGTAGTTGGTAAAAGCAATTTGACCTACAGAAAATTCAGTTATCTGCTGGCAGATAACCGAGTTATCTGCAAATGAGCCTGCGATGATTAGCAAGCGGTATCTATTTAACACAAACAAATGTATAATTAAAAAACATTATTATTGAATTCGGTTTTTGCGATATGCAAAATTATCAAGGTCGAGGTAAGCATTTTTTTCCGCATATCACAAAAACCTCATCCAATAATTGTTAATTATACTGTATAAATATAGAGCCCATTATCATAAAAATGTTCATAGGTTTTCTATTGCCATCATGACATTTTGCAGTGACTAAAATGAGACTATAAGTGATGTAAAAAAGAGAAGTTAAACTGTATTTTCACTGTAATGACGTGGCCATATATAATGTAATTGGTTCAATTCTTCTGTTACCATGCCAACCCCCAGGGATTTGTGTGCTGAAAATTCTTGGGGGTGGTGAATTTCATTGATCATTTGGTCCCGGGGGTAGGGGTGGGGAGTATTTATTTATAATTATGGCATATATTATATTATGCCTGCATGCAATATGGGTTTGATTTAGCTTGCGAACACACGAGAAGCTGTTTCCGCAAGATCTATCAAAGATGGTGGCGGAATATTTTACTGGTTAATGGAAAATAGCCTTGCTAAAACCGCCAGAACTTTGTGATCTCTGCCATTTGTGCTGTTCTTTTTAATAATAGTGAGCATAGGAAAGCAACGTTTTTGACAACACGAACATTATGTGAAAGTTAACATACCCCATTAATTTTCCCAGTGTGACAAAAATTATATGCTACATATTTCCTATACAAAAGTTATAATGAAAAACACCGCCGAAGTTTAGTATCAGCTAACTTTTGGGCGATGTCATGTTGTCAAAAACGTCACTTTCCTATAAGCTCACTATTTAATATACTGTTCATGAAAATAAACTTAACGCAATAGTCAATATTGTCCCCAGGGTTGGGAATTGTCTTTTTTTATTTGCCCGGGGGTGGGGAAATAAGAAATCTGCAAATTCCCAGGGGGGAAGGAAGGGGGGGGAGGTAACAGGCTCGGGGGGGGTAACAGATAGAATTGAACCATGCATAAGGCAAAGTTTCACAGTACTCTGTTTAATGCCAGACAATTTTAGTATTTTACCCATCAAGGGGAGAGTATTGGGCATTAATAGGTTACATGCTGACATAGGAGGAGGTGGCATAACTATCTTAGATTTCATCGTCAAAATGTTACTTGGTGAAATTGGATTCTGTAAATCGGTAGGATCGCTGGAAGGGAATGTCAGTGGTCTACTGTTGACAATACACTTGGCTTCTGTTAACAATATACGGAAAGATTCATTATTGAGGACATGGCCAAATTCTTTCATTAACGATGTTGAAGCTCTTTCGCAGCTCCTATTAGGTTGGGCCAAAAAGATCAATTCCACAGTATGTAAATGGTGCTGCGGAAGTAAGTCTGTCCTTGGGCAAATCAGCCATCTTCTGTTTGGCGGTTCTGGCACGAAATTTTCTTCAATCTACGCATCTTGATATGTAATTTCTGACTCTGGAATTGGCGTTTGTGATCCAATATCCGCTTCTTAAATGGTTGAGAGTAATTCCTCTTCCGCCATGGGCAACATTCTTATGGGTTAAAAGGTTTGAATCCAGGTTCATTCATTTTTTGTTTGTTTTATTTGTTCTTCTAGATTATTACTTCTAGCAGATAGACAAAACTTATTTAATTTTGTAATAATCTAGAAGAACAAATAAAACAAAGAAAATTCTCATGGGTGTGGCGAATAATCAGCTCTGTAATGTGACCATTTTGGGTAATATGACGGGATGTATAATTTCTGTTGTTATCTCTTCTCACCTACGTAATCTTCCTCCAACGCGCAGTAGGCAATTGGAGCCAAGGAAAGGATTCAGGCGATACAATGAGCTTGACTTTCTGAGTTTGGTCGTTCTCTGCTTAGTAAAACTTCTACTGTTGACTTTGCTGCTATCTTCGACCCTTTTCAGCGCACTAATTTCGTCAGGAAAGGATTCTGCTTGGACAATCTTCAGAATTGTAACTTCTGCCTTTTCTAATTATTCGACCACGATAAGTTTGGGGGTCATATCTTGCGTGGAACTATCGACAAGATTCCGTCGGTTGCGATCTCGTCTTGGCTTCATGCGTAACAGCCATGCTGTAGCTTTCTTTAGTCGGTACCATTGAGAAAAACAAGAGAAGTATTCCATAATTTCATTGTGTTGACCAGATACTATGGTATTAGCAGATATTACGGCGACTTCTGGATCGTCAAGTGTATTCAAGCTTACATCAACAGGTCGTTTAGGCCATTCATCCAATCATCCGTTGCTTTCCACAGGAATGATGGTCCGTTGATCCACCGCTTGTTCTCAAGGAAGCGTGATATCTTTAAAGCACGAGACGCATCGGCAGGATTCAAGGCTAAGCCAACGTAATGCCATTCATGGGGTGCAGTGGTGTCTCTAATTATTTGAACTCGGTTTGCTACGAAAGTCTTGTACCTGGCTTTATCATTGGTAAGGTACTTTAGGACTGTGGTACTATCGGTCCAGTAGAATCGATCGTCTGGTGAAATATCAAGCTCTTTTACAAGCATATTCGATACACGTACTGATAATACAGCAGCGGTCAATCAATTCGAGGCGGAGAATAGTCATTTGCTTGATTGATGAACAACGAGCTTTGCCAATAAGGAAAGCACAATCAATCTGTCCAAGGTCATTTCTTGTCTTAAGTACGACACCTGCCCGTATCCTGTTGAACTCGCGTCAGAGAAGCTGTGCCGGGTATCTGCTGAGAAACTACTGTCCCAAATTTATACTGTATGGTTTGAAACATCGATTCAGATCAAATTTTTCCAACAGAGGTAAACTTTTTTTTCCATTCTTCCCAACGATGACGGTATACGTATCTGGTATCTCATCATCCCAATCCGCTTTCTCTTGACAAAGATCTTGAAGAATCATCTTACCCGGCGGAAGTAACACTGGAGCTGCTATCCCTAAAGGATCATAGATAGTGCCAATGGTAGAAAGAATACCTCTTCTAGTTAGTGGTTTGTCCTTGATGGTAATACGAAAACCAAATTTATCTGATTCAACGTGCCAGTGAACGCCGAGTGCTCTTTCCATGGGTAGATCGTGATGGTTAAGATCCAAACTTCGAAGTTCCTTTGTTCGTTCTTCAGGAGGGATGGTTTCCAATACTCTCCGGTCGTTTGATGTAAACCTCCACTGACACAAGCATCTATAACACTGTGCATTCGTTTGATAGCAACGTCCACCGTCTTGTCTGATCGGAGGCAATCATCTACATAGAAGTTTCTTCGGACCACGTCTGCAGATTCCGTTCCAATCTTGTACTCATAATCATCAGCAGCTCTGCGGAGGCCAAAATTCGAGCAGCTTGGAGATGATACTGCGCCAAATATATTAACGTTCGTTTCATATTCAGCAAGATCTTGCGATAGGTCACCATCAGGCCATTACAGAAAGCGGACAAAATTGCGTTGATGCTCGGGTATTCGCACATCGATTCTATATCTCCCATAAATGCCACTGGTTCTTGACGAAATCGTACCAACACTCCTATCAAAGAATTAGTCAGATCAGGTCCTTGAAGCACTCTATCGTTTAAAGCTGTTCCTTCGAATCGGGCGCTGCAATCGAAGACGACGCGGACCTTATCGGGCTTTTCTGGATGATATTACTGCGTGGTGCGGCAACTACCATACTGTGCTTTTCTTTGTGGCTGTAACGTTTAGTGGAATTTTCCTTGCATATCCTTTGACAAACATGTCATTCACGAACTCTGTGTATTGCTTGTGTAGACGATTATCTTTAAGGAATTTGTTCTTTATCCAGTACGCTCTTCGTTCTGCTTGAGCTCGGTTGTCGGGCATAACGACCTCGTCTTCTCTGAAAGGAAGTGGTATTTCATAGTGTCCTTTTTGTTCAACTTTCTTAAGGAATAACTTGTCTTCTTGAGAGAGACCATGTTCATCACTGACTTTTTTTCGCTGAAATCAACTTCCATCATTCTGTTTAATGCTTTTGGTGTAAGGATCTCTTTCACCACTTGATCAACAGCGAAATGATAATTCATTGGTAATTTGAACTATTTTTTTGCAACAATCCGATTACAATTGACTGTCGCAGGACCATTGCTTGACATATGAAGAGGTCCAATCCTTCTACGTCATTCGTCCGAATGACGTAGAAGGAATATTCGGGGCGAATAACGTAGAAAGATTTCTTCAAAAGCATTTCTTCTCGACCCTCAACTGTCGCAATTTCTTCCTCCAAACGTAATTTTTCTGCTTCGCTCTTAAGCTTCTGTTTTCTTTCAAGCGTTGCAGCTCTAGCGCGTAACTCAACCACTTTAAGTCGTTCCTTAACTCTTGCTTGGCTTGAACTCTTCGAAAAACTGCTGCTTTTAGTTCTGGACGAATGACGCGAATTAAAAGATCTTTTGTCCATTTCTTCAAATATTTTGCTTCACACTGGTAATCCATTGTTCGATTTCAATCGTAAAACGAGAACTCCTTTCGCATTGTTCGTTATACCATGTCAACGCATCAGCTATCTCTTCTTCCGTTGTTAACTCCATACGGCATAATTGAAACGCTTCTTTTAATTCAGCGTTTAAGGTGACAAGTACATCCAACTCTTGCTTAATAATATGGCAATTATCGTAGCTACAAGTAACTAAGTTTATCCAGTTTATGTGCTTCGTTATCTTCGTCTGAACGTTAATACAGGTTCTGCGCTTTCGTTGTACGTTGTAAGCTTTCCCTTTTGATGTAGATTTCCGTAGCCTTCAGCCTCGTTCTTCGTCGCCACTATCTACAAGTTCAACGTCCATATCAGTCGATGTATATATATACAGGGTGTCTCAAAAAAAACCAAAATCATTGAAATAACGTATTGTTCGAATTTCAATGCCGTAACACAAAGGATTTTGACAGGGTGATTAATTTGTTTTACAAAATTAAAATATCTTTGTAAAGTGAACGTTTGTTTGCTCATGGGAATTTAAAAATGCTTCGTAAATTCGTGGGTTTAGTACTTTATGCCTGACATAACAAGTTTACGCTGAGTACTACCATTCATTATAGCAGTTATGTCAATCTTTTATGCACTCGTGGGATTAACTTAGTGCTAGGGCATTGAATATCGAACAATACGTCAATTTCAATGATTTTGGGTTTTTTTGAGACACCCTGTATAGGTCAACATTTTATCGTTTGACGTTGTAATCAGCGTTGCATATCGCGGCTGTTGCCTCGGTTTAAAGTTCTAGTTTTCTACTAATGTTAGCGATTCCCGTTTCCGCTATACACACGTTAAAATTGGTTTGTTCCTCACGCGTCTCTTACTGATTTTTATTCGTTGAACGTTTTCATATTACAGATAAGAACAGGGTTGGTAAGTTAGATGAATAATTAGGCCAAATCGTCATTAGTGCCGTTTAGAAAACAAAGAAAGCAAAAGGCCAAGACAAAGAAAACAAAGGCCTAGTGTGACGGTGTTTGGCCTAATTATTCAGCAAACCTACCAACCCTGGATAAGAAACGGTAGAAAATGTACCGAACTATTTCACAACAACTCATCTACCGTTTTACACTGATTTATAAATGTACCGACACAATGCCTATAGAAAATTAATTTTAAATGTTCAAGGTTCAGTAATCATTAAGCTAATGAGTTATTGCCATAACAGGGAAAGTGTTGAGAAACTCTAGTGGCTATCTTTCCATATATCTTCTTCTTTTAATAACATAATCCATGAATTCCCAATCATGTAATTGCTCTGTACTGTCGTCTGTAAGCAGCTCTTACTGATACTGTCGTCTGTAAGCAGCTCTTACTGATATAGTGCATGCAGTCACACTGTGTTTTTTGTTTACTACTGTAATAACAGATGGCAAATGCTTCCAGTTCACAAAGCAAAAGAAGAGAGGAAGGATGTGGTAAATGGTTAACAAAAAAGGGCAAATCAACTGTAAAACAGCTGCATTTTAAACCTTGCCTAACCAGAACATTGAAACCAATTACTTTTGAGGGTAAAACAAAATCATGTAAAATGAAGCAAAGTACGATGAGTCAATTTCTTGTGGAGAAAACGACTAAAGTGAGAAAAGAAATTATTTCAAATGGCAAATCAACATCCAGAGACGAAGTTACCGTTGCCTTACCTTTAAAAAGAGGAGTTTCTTTAGCAGATATTAAATATGGTTAGTAATCTGTAAACTTTATTATTCTTAATAAATTTCTCTCAGCATGCTTTTATGATGAAAATTGCAGGACTGCCAATGAAATATATCAAAACAATGGAAATGTTCTGGATGGGGAATCCTACACAGAGAGTTATATTACAGGGAAAGTTATATTAAAGAGTCAAGATTTCGGAGATAAAGATAATGTTATACCGAAAAAAGTGTTCATCAAACACGTTTATTTTAAAAAACTTCTTATTTCGAATCAATTTCGATTCATCTTCAGCAGTATATTTACAAGATATTGGCATATATAACTATAAAATAAATTGATATAAAAATTTGATAGAAATTATAATTCGAAATATACAGGTTTTTAAAATAGATGTGTTGTTAAAATGCACATTTGTTTCGGAATAACATTAGTTTTCTATCTAACTATCAGCCGGTGAAGCCAAAGGATTCAATATTTCGGATTTTCTTAACTATCTTGATGTTTCTTTCAACTAACATGAGAGAGTTAAAATTGATGTAACTCTTTTCAGTTTATTAAATATTTATGATCGAAGTTAACATACTTCTAACTTACTATTGTTATGGTAATAATGGAGGAACTGCTGACAACACATCAAGAAACGCAATATATGTTGCCTACACAATGCAAAATCCCCTTAGAAGTGTTTATAAGAAATATAAGAAAAAAAACATACTCCGAATAATAATGCCATCTTGTAAACTCAAGATACGAGTTATTTAAAAAAACAAGACACAAATTATGGTGATGATATTTCGACTTTATTTTCGGCTCATTGTCAAACCAAACCCTGAAATAGATTCGAAATATCATCATCATAATTTGTGTCTTTAAATAACTCGTATGTTGAGTTTACAAGATGGCGTTATTTGGAGTAGGTAAAGGATTTTAGAAATGCTTATACGTCACGTAATTTTGAAACAATTAATTATTAATCCAAACGTATCCCATAATGCACTGTGCATTCCAGAAGTCCTCTGTATTAAAAATTGCGTGACGTAAGCACTTCTACGGTCTATTGAGTATAACTGATGTTTGCGCAAAGGAGGAGCCCTGCACTTGACAAAGTGCGAAAACGCCCGGAAATCTAAACCTATGGAATGGAAGGACCCGCTCGCAATTCACCCCGCCAGGAGTTTTTAACGTTTTCACCACTATTTGTTTGTCGGTCATTGTTTGGTCATGTTGCTACCTAAATTACCCGCCCCATTTATTCAAAAATCCTTAAAACCTTCAATGAAATAAAGCGACTGTTGCGCAGGCTATAGTTACTACCCAATTTACACACATAATTCTATAATTCAAATGCTTTGTTGCCATCAACTGATTCATTAAGCATGTGGAACTGTATTATCTGGAAAGTGAATTCGATGGGTAACGGGTATACATAACGAAAATTTTCACCAAGTTTATCTAGCTGACATCCGCCTTACTTTGTGATCGTATAAGACGAAAACTTTATTACTACTTTGTTCTTGGATATTTTAGAAGATCTTTGGGGAAGTGACAGTGATGAAAATGACGCATGTCAAAATGAAGACAACGTAGAAAAGGTCAGTCAGGGAGAGAAACAGAATATATCCAGAGACTTACCTACATTATATAGTAAGGATGTACAGATTGAAAACAATTTTCAAAGGAATTATGTTGGTACCAAAAATATGGGACAAAAACACACTGAGAAGCTGTTTCCCTCACCAAAGAGACTTAGAAAGTCAAAAAACAATACGGATCAAGACATTGGAGCAGGAAGTAATTCAGCAGAAAACGAAATCGATTTTACTGAATGGTTTGAACATGAAGTTGGTGCATTTAATATTCAATGTTATAATGAAGACAAGAACGCAATAAATAAAGAAAATTTGTTGTCAATGTCATGTCGATACCCTTCCTCTTGCAAACCTTCAGATTCTGAGGAAGAATTACCTCAGTTCAGTGAATGGTTCAATCAACATATTCAGAACACGAATCACAAAGAATTACCAGTTAACATGTTACAATCTCCTGCAAGGGATGTGTCACAGCACAATTCTACATTTACACAATGGTTCGAGGCTAATTTAGAAAATATCAAAAGTCCTAGTTAGCTATTTACTTGTAATTACCAAAGAACGTGTCCATGATGCACGTCAGAGGACAGAGAGGAATTAATTTGATGTATTGAAACAAGTCTATAACGATATAGTAAATTATACCATGATTAATCCATCTACAACATAAAAAAAACTTAAACTTAGTCTTTTTAAAACATATTCAGACTAATATCCACACAACATGGATGATGTTTCACCGAATTAACCGCAACTCGTAAGGCATTTTAATACATCAAATCAAGTAAAAAAAGTAAGAAAATGTAAGAAAATTTCGTTTGGGAAAAGTGGGTTTTATATGCGTATTCACAAATGTTTTGTTTTGTGTTTTAAGGATTTGAATAACAGGCTCTAAAATATATAAAATGAAATAATAAATGTAAACTAGTCAGTACGGAAATACTTATATTCATTTATTTATTAGTGAGTGGCATGCAATAGCAGTTAGCAGCCAAAATACAGGACTGTGCTCATTCTAAAATTTCACATTTAAGGTAATACCGATTATCTTTTTGCAAATATTTATAAATTATTGAAATATACTACATTCTACAAAATAATGTAAAATCACACAAGTTCTCAATGTGTTCCCAGTTGTGTTACCACGTTTGCTATGACCACATTAGAATTACAAGAAAGTACAAAACTGACATATGCAGACAGCAGCTATCAGACGTTGAAACAACCTTAGTATACTGTACAACTACATGCCTATAATGGCATTATGCTCATGCAATCTTGCTAAAAGTTATAAAAAATTGTGTCAGACTTGTATTTGTTGTTGTGGAACCACCAAGGGCCGATTGTTCAAAGCTGGGTTAACGCTATCCCTGGGTTAAAATTTAATCTGCTGTTTTAGTTTAAGTATTTCTGCACGTCTGTTTATTTCAAAGTTTTGGAAAAGAAAACTTCAGGCAAGATCTCGGAAGAATTATTTCCAAATTTATAAACAAGCTCTTGGGAAGTTTGCTTTGCATTTTAAGTTAACCTGGGGTTAAGCTAACCCAGCTTTGAACAACCGGCCCCAGGTCGATGCGCAAGAACGCATCCTCCTCAGTGCGTATAATATTGCTTGCAACTAACATTATTTGCACTAAAGTTATTTGCAACCAACATTTGCACTAAAGTTATTTGCAACTAACATTATTTGCACTAAAGTTATTTGCAACTAACATTATTTGCACTTACATTATTACACACAGTAAAGGTCCGGGCTTACCGATTGAAAACTTTACGAAATAAAAAGTTGTTTATGTTGTTTACAGAAAAAAAAACAATATGCATGAAAAGTAAATATCAAACTTTTACATGTATATAATATAGGTTTTACAAGTTTATTAAAAATGACAAAATCCCCCATCATCTGTGTATGCAGAGTTGCTATATATAAGTTAATATAAAATCATGATAATTTCTTCTACCAAGAACTACGACCAAGCAGAATGCGAACACATGCACCCTTCGAGCTTGACACGGATTTGCATATGACTGAAATATATGTTGTGAGGTTTGCGCGTATAATATACACAAGCTTTTGGTGCCAGTTGATACGGTACAGGTATTCAACATAACTCTACGTGCTACAAACCATATCCTCAGCTTCGTCAAATATCACGTCTTTTGTTTGTTGATCTTCTTGTGAACAAGTTCTCGGAAATCTGACAAAATCTTCGTTTCTCTTTTCGATCTTTCTTCGTAGTTAAACATGGCTAACGCTCGCCTGTAATGTACAGGTAATGCCAATGGTCAGTACACAACTTAATGCTGTATTCATGTATGCAATACAAACCGAAAGTGGAGTTACATGGATTTCCAGGTTGACTATACCACGTAATTTACATGAACTGACAATTTTCATCAGTATTATTCATGCAGATGACCAACTATTATTTTATATCCAACATGCATGTTCACTTATTACCAAAACATAGTTATGTATATTGGGGGTTGAACTAGGGCTAACAACCATGTGTGCGTGCTTACACTCATAAATGAGGTGTTTAGAAAATTAATGGCACCAGCTCCTCCCCCTTTGTTTTGTGAAACAGTTTGTGAAATTAGAATTATTGTCAAAGTTCCTTGTAATGTTTATTTAGGCAATATACACTGAATATAGGAAGTAAGTTGATCCAGCCCTAACTTTTCTTGGTTTTGTGCAACACGTACTGTTTCAAACGGGGTACTTTCTTTGTAGTCCCACCCAGTACATTTACTCTGTCTTCTAAATTACTGAAAAAGGAAATGATAAGATTAGATTACATACTTTTCATCAGCACTGTAGATTTGATTTTCTTTACGTATACGAACAGCTTCCATACGTCGATGTCGGCTACCACTCATGACATAACCTTGATCTTCAAATGATGTTATTTCATTACTGGTTAGACCAATTTCACCACGCCGCGGTATACGTTTGCCAGCTTTTACATAGTTTGCCATCGCTGCACCTTCACCCGGCAGTAAAGCCGTGCCGAAACTATGGGAAACAAAGATAATGCTCGATGACAATGTCAGAGTGTAGAATTGAAAGTGTATAAAGCTGGTGAACCCTATAGACACCCCCATGATGACGTCACGTAACTATACCTACCAGAATTAAAGCACGTATGGGGTAATAACAGGAAAAACAGATACAATATGCTGTTTTAAGTAAAAATCTTGAGTTTCAGTCTCCCACAATCTTGGAGTAAACGGCAACTACTGTATGTGCATAGTCACGTGACCAGATGAAATTTTAATTTATGCTCAAAATGTCTTTTAAGGTGATTCATTAGTTTGGCATTTCGCACTTTTACTGCGCATATCTAATAACAAATTCTACCTAATATATGTAGTCGAACTGCAATGTAAAGTGATTAAGAAAGAGTAACGGCAAAGAGAAAAACAGTCTGCATTGATTAGGCGTGCTTCAGGAAATATACCTTCAAAAACTCTGGCTAGGGCTCTTGTGCAACTAACACTAAACCACATCATGTTGCATGTTTAACCTTGTATCCATTTTTTTATTTTATATTTTTGTTCTTCTATACGTTTTACATGTCGTGTCAGAAAATAAGAGAAAAATCGTTTCTACAACTTATAATATTTTACATTTTCGGGCATGCTTCCAAAATAACATGTCTGAGAAGATGGGAAAAGACATCTTTGCAGCACGACAATACACGTAAATGGTTTTTGATTCGCTAAAATACCATATTTTCTTCTATATGATCACTAGATAGATATTTTTAGTAGGATCCTTGTTAAAAAAAATTCAGTAACGGTTGACCAATTGCGATTGTTCCTGACGAATTGGAGGTCAAAAACTAAATTCGGTTTGATCATCATAAATGTTATTCAATCCTACTGTAAATGTTAGGGATGCACCTGATATCACATCCGGTCAGATAGTGAGATAATACTGGCCGGATATCGTTTATTTAAGGTCCAGGCCTTTTTTCAGGTTAGAAATGATGTAATATATACATGATTTAAAAAGCAAGAGTACTTATATTTTTCATGAAATGACTATTACCATGAAATGACTTGTGAACTACACAGGAACACACCCTTCCGGAAACCACGACACTCTGCTATAGAGCCTCGTTTTCGTGATTGAGACATTAGGTTTTCATTAACGTCATATACACGAAAACGAGGCTCAATAGCCAAAATGACGTACTTTCCGGAAGGATATCTTACTGGGGTACAAGTTCGATTTGTTGATTCTGCATGGCTAGCTGATAAACTATATGCGATATTCATTCGAAGATTATCGATTAGTCATTAGAAAGTTGACAAGGAGAGTGGGACGGAGTAATTAGAAAGTAGAAAAATCACTGAGAACTCATGTCAAGCATTAGAAAGGACACCTCAAAATTATTAGCTACACAACATCTGACCACATCTGAAAACCTTTGACAGTTACAGAAGATAATAGAAAAAAAGTATAACGACAGATAATGTAGTGACAGTGCTTTTAGACGACATTATAACAGAGTGTTGAACTACCTAATAAAGACAATTTCACGATATAACTCAACATTACTCGTGAAAGTTAACAAATAAGAAAAACATTGTACTACTTACTCCATTTTCTCATCAGCATTTCCATGCAAAGAAACAACAGGCACTGGACCAACAACAATATCGCCAGTTTTGTCGTCTGGAAATGAAAACCACAAATTGTTAAACAACTACTACTGCTAAGAAAATTTGAATTTCACTTTGTGATATATCACTGACAATATCATTGTGATGGAGTATCAGCTGTGCAGCCAACTATATCATACTGTAGTTTATAATTTCCATTCCCTACGCTTTCTCACATTATTTTGGTCCACGTTTATATAGCATATATAACTTTAGCAAATTGCGACCAACACGATGCCACATGTACATGATCATATTTCACACTATATTTTTACGATTCCACAGCTAACTTACGGATTGTTGTTGCATTAAATTAAAGTTGATATCACATCAATATGGTTCTCATTACCTATACCTAATAGTCTCTATTACCTAAAAATTAAATATTAAAAGGTAGTATAATACCTTTACGTTTTTCAAGCCACTCATTAGCACTATCAGTGTCACCTGTTATAAAATTTGTTGAATTAAAATAATGTAAGCAAACAATACTGATTCATAAGTGTCACAATGGATGAAACACAAATCGCAATACAAACATATGCACCAAAAGTCAGATCTGTTACGAAATTATGCCTAGTATATACTTACAGTATATATTATAATAGCTTGCACCTATATTCAAAGATGCGGTACAGCCCATTCTGTGCATGGTTACATTGAATCTCCGGCTTTAACTATATATAGGTTCTATGTTCTTGCAAAGCTGATCGTACTACAGATCTTTTGGGCGCGTAATTGAACGAGGGCACGAATCCATGCTATTTTCCGAGACCAAGGTGTGAAGCTGGAAGTACTGTCCGGTATGGGTTGATTTCCAATGTACGTATATAGTTGTCAACTTCATTATTTGGATCCAAAAATGTAAACAAAGATGACACGTGCGAACGGATTGTACCACATCTTTAATCGTTGCCCACTGCGAGAAACTTGTTTTTGCCCACTGCATAGAATGTAACTTGCATGCCTCCGCAATGCGAGATTTATTGTTTGGGACCGAGGAAAACAGTATATGTTTTGTGTTTCTCCAATGTCCCAGTCAATAAGTATTTAATCCAGTCAATAAGTATTTAATTCTATCCCAAGTTTCAAAGAAAGCAAAAAAAACGAACGAACAGGAAACGAGAAAGCTGCATCATTTTTACTCTGAACGACTTTATTAATCACCGGTGAATAAAAGTATGATCTAAAAGTATTGAATTTCATGATTTTCACGTGATACGTTCTCATCCAATGAGATGTAAGAATACATGAACTTTGACAGTATATGCATGCAGGATGAGTTAAATTCACAACTCTGTTTATAGAATGAAGAAATTCACCTTCTGATTCGTCTTCGCTTTCCTCACTTGAACTTTTCTTTTTTCTCCTCTTGCTGAAATAAATAAATAAAACGTATCATGCATTTAGAAGTGTGTTTTTTTAAACTAAACTAAATCAATTCGTTTATTTATAGAAATACCCAATATAAGCACATGTAACATGTAATACTTGAACATTACACCGCGTGTCCCTTACTCCCGTTAAGTTAAAGTTAACATATTTGATTCCATTAGGTCAATAAATAGTTTTTTCGTTAAATTAAATCAAACAGGTTATATAACTTTGTGGGGAGGATTTACGGAACGCCTCATGCGTGTAGTCGCTTGCAAACTAGGTGACGTGCAACTCATACGTGTTACATCAACCATGATTTAAGGTAAACAATTAATTTCCAACCTTTTCTTTTTATGTTTTCTTTTCTTTTTCTTGCTAGATTTCTTCGACTTCTCGTCTGTACCATCATCACTCTCACTTCTATCCGCTATTTTCCCTTGAGAGAAACAAAAACAACGTTTCGCATAACATCTTCACAACCTCGCTACTACGCTTAATTATGCATAATTCTTTTGTAATTTCTCGAGTACTCGGGACATTTTTCGAAACGGTCAACATATCCAGAGCAACGCAAAGGTGAAAGGTATTGCGTACAGTACGTATTCTTAGCCTTCTGGTAAAAAGACCGGTATAGACTTCATATGTGAACACGAGCTTTTGGACCAGCAATTTTTCCGTAAAAGTGGGAAGAGTTAGGACTAAATATTTCATCAATCATCAATAAAGTTTATGTATGTATCAAGAGAAACGCTAACATAAATAATATATGTAAATTATACAATTTATAACTTCATTCAGCAACGCGTTGCCATAGCTTACGCCTGCTGAGCTCTACATATATCTGGAGCAAGAACTTCAGTAATTCGGCCTAAGGGAATTGGGAAAAGTGAAGCGGAATTGACGTCCAATATCTAAGGAGGTCGTAAACAGTTTTAACACCATTTTTCCCAGCTACTTCCAGATTTTTTCTAACGGCCAATATCGCTAATCAACTTATGAGTACATAAAATTATACTAAATATTTGCCTTTAAATCGAAGTCATAAAACGAAATTTCGGCACGCTCCTTACAGCTTCGTGTCCGAAACAATATAGAGGGACTGCAACCGACGTGCAATAGCTCCATCGTGGCTTTTCGTGGCTTCACTTTTCGGACTCCGATTCTCACTCCAGATATACATCGAGCTCACTGATTAGATCATAGGCACAGAACACTATACAGAAGTCCATCTCCATTGTTTTTTGCGTACGCGCTATTCGTCATGATTCGTCACTCAGCAAGTACCGTAAACAGAAGCAGTCACTCCCTGGACGTGCGCCACTTTGAATATTTCCAGGGGGGTGACTGCTTCTGTTTACGGTACTTGCTGAGTGACGAATCATGACGAATAGCGCTTACGCAAAAAACAATGGAGATGGACTTCTGTATAGTATTCTGTGTCATAGGCTACCACGACGGTTTTATTTTTAAAACATGTATAAGCAAACATTATAAAACTTGTGAATACTCTTCTCATATAATAAGGGCAATACCTTTGGCTCTGCTTTCACTTTTATTATGTATGTTGTGTAGATTATTTTTCTTTGTAGTTTGCACTTCTTCCTCTTCATCATCAGAACTATAGATACAGTATATTAAATGAGAACTTTACTCTAAATCAACTGAAAAAAACAGTCATGATAGGCATCGCGAATTTCATGGTGGCAAGTGGCTTTTACCTCAACGAATGTCGTTTCACTTTTATTCAATATGCAGTAATATCATTCACGTAATATATTATTCAATTAATATGCAGTCATCTTATAATAAACAAGAGTATTTTAATAAACCTATACAGAACATTGCAGGCATTCTCCGGGTACTCTGGCTAGTTCCTGTGAAAACATTGGACAGCCCTTATACTGGACATACATGTAGCCAGAATAATCGAATTCTAAATGAAAAATTAATTTCTCAATCTTAACAATGAAAATTGCCCATCTTTATATAAGTATCAAATATAAATACATACTCATCTAATGGAGCTTTAGGTGATAGACCCCAAGCCCCTGGAACTCCCATTGCACAAATCCGTTCTCGTTCCATTCTTCGTCTACAGAATTGTTGAATTGTGAAAAATTAATATTCACCATTATAACATTCATGCAAGTAAACACAACTTTTTGGAAACCAGTAAAAATACGTTTTATGTGAGATATATTCAATGATTCGAGTAAAACATCTTATCATAAATACTATTACAGGTAGGTGGGGCCTACAGTATGACTACGTTGAGAAATAGTCATATAACTCTTTGACGAAGGCTTTTGCTTCAGATGTTGTAAGTGGGGTGTGCCTATAAGTGGGGTGTGCTAATATCCTTACTTACAACTGAATTGCGAAGGACGCAGCTCAACCTGATCCAGTCCAAAGTTTTCTAAGGGCGTCTTTGGAAGCCACCTTATGACTCATGTCTGATCACAGAGTACAGCTACAGTGGAAGGGTCAGTTACGGGGCTAATCCCAACCCACTGACGATTGCGCCACTGAAGCGCCGTTGTTGGATCAAATTTATTCCATGTATTGCACTGTTGAAAGACATCATGGTACAATGGACCATTTGTATTATATACTAAATTTTGATCTAAACAAGGCTAGACCAAAATTTCATCACAGCTTGAAAGAGCATCATAAAATTAGTAATATTCTAAAGTTTCGTTGCGAAATGTTGTAAAATGCGGATAATATAACCTTGCGAAGTTTGCCGTTTTTCAGTCATTTTGTATTACAAATGGGAAATTGACAGCCCCAAAGGGTATTGGGCTGTCAATTTCCCCCGCGTAATGTAAAATGACTGAAAAACGGAAAACTTCGCAAAACTTCAAAGGCAAACTTCGCAACGAAACTTTGGAATATTACTAATTTTATGATGCTCTTTCAAGCTGTGATGAAATTTTGGTCTAGACTTGTCTAGATCAAAATTTAGTATATAATGCAAATGGTCCATTGTACCATGATGTCTTTCAACAGTGCAATACATGGAATAAATTTGTTCCAACAACGGCGCTTCAGTGGCGCAATCGTCAGTGGGTTGGGATTAGCCCCGTAACTGACCCTTCCACTGTAGCTGTACTCTGTGATCAGACATGAGTCATAAGGTGGCTTCCAAAGCAGTGGCGAAGCCAGCCCGACAATTTGGTCATGCTACTATGCAAATATTTCCGTGTTCATACACCGTGAAAACAATCAATTTCTAAAGAAATTAATGATGATTATTTAAAATTTGCATAGCATGACTAAATTGTCGGGCTGGCTTCGCCACTATTCCAAAGACGCCCTTATAAAACCTTCGACTGGATCAGGTTGAGCTGCGTCCTTCGCAATTCAGTTGTAAGTAAGGATGATTAGCACACCCCACTTATAGGCACACCTCACTTACAACATCTGAAGCAAAAGCCTTTGTCAAAGAGTTATATGACTATTTCTTAGCATAGTCATACTGTAGGCCCCACCTACCTGTAATAGTACTACCATAAAATGTTGGTCTAGACTCTGTTTAGATCAAAATTTAGTCTATAATGCAAATGGTCCATTATACCCATGCAGAAGCTCATGGAGAAAATTACATATTTCTTGGGAACAACATTATTATTTGTAGTGTTAAAGAAAATTGTCTGCAATTTTACCTTTCTGATCGACCTTCATCATGGGATTTCTTGCCTTCTCTACGACTAAGAAATCAGATTATAATTATACTGTAAGTACTTATCCATTTTTACCTATTTGTTTTGCCACAAAAATTACAAAAAGCCACTCAATAACCGGGTGGCCCAGAAAAAAGTGCTCCTCTTTGATTCAGTATAACTTAAAAATTAAAAGAGCTATTACACGTAAGCTGACTTAAATTTTGGTATATGCCATGTGTATTTTAACACAGTTTTAGCGGAGATATTTGGGTTTCAAAATCAGTAAATTGGCAAACAAACGGCCTATTAAACTAATTTTGACAAACGCTACCAATTTATCGTAAGTATAAGACTAGTATTCGTTTCATAATTAGTAAAATTGAAGTTAAAAAATGTTTATAGAACAGATATTTTTATTATACGAATTTTGGGAAAGCATTAACGTGTAAGACTGTTTTTATCGTTTAACATTCATGTCCCTGGGAAATTAAATTCTAATGTGCAAGAAAGAAACGTGGCCTGTCTCTTTGCTCTTTTGCCAGTATAAAGATGCCTCATTTAACGAAGAACCAAAGAGTTTGGATTTGTCCAGAATATGCTAGGGTAAATAATGTTTGTGAAGTTCTAAGGCGATGGGCAGAACGCTGGGGCAACCTTCCTGCCCAGACTAAACGAACAGTTATGAAAACATATCGCAAGTTTGTGCTCGAGTAGAGGTCAACGGAGAAAGGCTAGGACAGTGGAAAACATCGAATTGGTTGTACAATTTCTTACGGAAAATGGTCAAAGACCTGGCAGGCGAAATGGTTTGGGATTGAGCCGAGCCACGTTAGAGTGAAAATCGATATTAAATTTCATCCGTACGTGTTAATTTGAAGGCAAAAGTTAAGAGAAGCCGACCAGTACAACGACTGGCATTCTGCAACTGACTGTGAATACGGTCGCCCGGATTCCTGATTTTCTTGACAAGCCGTTAGTAGTGTCAGATGAAGCCGGAAATAAATTCGGAAATAAATTCGAGGAACATTAGAAAATACGCAGCGCGTGGCGATGCATGGGCACCCATGCTACTCACAGGATCATGACGTTGAATTTTTGCAAGGTGCAAAGCAAACAATGGTTTGGGTTGGGTTGCCGAGGCAAGGCGTTGTTCTGGGTCTACACCAGTGGTCTACACGTTGTGAAAAGAAACCTGGACACAAGAGAGTACATCCGTGTCATACGCTATAACGTGATTCAGACTTTCACGCTCACAACATCCATAGAAATTCCATGTGGTGGCAACAAGACGGAGCTCCATGCCATACGAGTAACGCAACTATGCGATATCTTCGGGGGCGATTTCCTGGCCGACTGATGAGTAAACGGGGTGATTGGCCTTGGCCCCAGGCCTCGAAATTCCCTGAAATCAATCAACGGAATGGCGTTAAAAATTGCCGTAGAACGTAACAGCTGTCTACGGCAATTTTGACAGTTTCCACGGCATTTTTTCAAATTACTGTAATAAAACTTTAATTTTATTGTAACCTTGGATTTTTGACAAGCTAGAAAATGTCTACGTATTTCTTTAGTGAAAACTGAGACTAAAATAGTGATTTACGCATGATTTGACCAACATCTGAATTCAAGTATCAAAATAGTAATAGTATAAAAATTACACTATACAGCAAAAAGTTGCCGTCGTTGCCGCAATGATCCACGGCATTTTGTTCTCCCTCTACGGCAATTGCCGTGATAAAATTCGAGCCATGCTTGGCCCCCTCGTTCTCCTGACCTGACGGTGCAGGATTTTTTTCTTTGGGGCTACCAGAAGCATCAAATTTGGAATGTGCCTCATGATCAACGACCAAATAATTTGAGGGAGCTTCATGAGGCAATTGTAACAGCATGCTGCAGGGTTCGAAATAACGGTTCGTGATTCGTGAATCACGAATCCATTTTCATTTTTCACGAACGCAATTTCATAAAAATTCAAAATCACGAATCAAAAGTCTCTCAAATTGACAAAAATATACAATAATAAATTCAGTTCTTTGTACATGTGATGAAAGACCATATATTTTGAAAATATTGTTGTTAAATTGTACTTAAAAACGATTATAATTCCACCCAAAATTCTATTTCTTTGCGAGTTTGCGAAATGCGACATGGTATATACCAAAATTTAAGTTGGACATTACAGAATTGTTTAAGTGTGAGCGTGAAAATCATCGGTTTATACCAGCTGATATTTTGTTAGCTGATCGGTTTTTACCAGTTTAAATAAAGAAGTTATTATTATTATTATTATTATTATTATTATTATTATATTATTATTATATAGAGCTCTTTTGCTTTTTAAGTTATGCTGAATCAAAGAGGAGTACTTTTTTGGGGCCACCTAGTAGATTACATAATGCAACTAGCAAAAGGTGAAATGTGAAAAGCTCCGTTCAATTAAGACCTGGATGTGCCAAATTTGTGCATATGCTTTTTCCAGGTTCTACAGGAGTCATTAGCATCACAAGGCTCATCCATCAACACACTTTCAAGAGTGTTGCTCCTTTTAGCCAGGGTCCTAAAAGAGGGCGTCCAATTTTGGTATAACAATACATCCACAGTAAAGTGGGGCAGGGGGGGGGTTAGAGAAAATGTTCCTCTGGAAAACATTTGAAGTTTACGTTACTTCATGTCAGTATCTGTTCCAAGCTCATTCAAAATTGTTAAAACACTTGGCTTTGTGACGCTATGCTTCATTACTTAATTATGACATTTTCATTCAGCCAGGTACACCATCAAATTTATCAAAATGTCAAATGTATAATAATAATGAGAATTGAAGCTATTTTGTTTCAGATATATTATTAATATACTTACGGAAATAATTGAAAATAATTTCCCTTTCCCCGTCGTTCTAGGGCATCCCTGGACGCCCTTCCTTCTGGATAAAAGCCATTCCTTTTGTAGGACGGAGGAAAATTAATGACATTGGGAGCGGAATAAATTCTTGTTATCGTCATTAGTGCGTAAGGTATACTAGCTAGCTAGTATGTTGATTAATGTTAATTTTTTAGCTCATGTCAAAATATGTTGGCAAAATTTTGAAAATTAGAACCCTAGAAATGCCATTTCCTGCAATATGGGCATTGAATTATGAGCTTCAGTTTGACTTCAAAAAGAAAAAACCTTGGAAATTATACCATATTTGTGAATTTGATTTTTTGCACCCAGGGTATCACCAAGCCAACAGGTGTGCACACCCCTGTGCACCCCCCTATAAATCCACCCCTGTAAAAATCCAAATAAGAAAACAATATAAAACAGTAGATCACACAAGAAACAATCAATGTACAATGAACATAATCTAGTTACACATGCAATATTTGAAACAAAACCGCTCAATGGCAGAAGTGAATGACAAAGCCATAAATCTGTTAGGTTTTTCCTGTTTATCAGTAAGTTAGAGATCTCCGCCACCCAATACAAACTTTCCAGTCTGGCACACATACAAATGAGGATGAAAACATTACTTTCCGGTGGAGGTAATAATTTGGCATATCCGTGGCAGTGGGTCACTCCAGAAAACATCCATGCCTCTCCTAGGGAGGAAATTAACCCCCTACACCCTTCAATTGTCCTATTAATACACTTTATACCATTATCAGAATCAAATTTTTCTCCCCTCCCCATCCGGATTGCAGTAATTTCCTCCTTGGGGAGTTGGGGGCAGGGTGGACCTTTTCTGGAACATGGCCACCATGAAGTGCAATCAACCTATCGACAATCAATCAAGGAAGGTCGCAACTCACAACGATACCAGTCGCTGATTGGTCATCAATTTCAAATAAAATTGACATTGGACATTGATTCTATTTCTATCTAGCCAATCTAGGTCTATTAAATAAACCATGATTCTATATATTACATACTCTGGGAACTGTATTACTTACTCGAATCCATTCCGATGATGACTTCGTTCATTACTTCTTGATCGAGATCTACTTCTTCTAAACTTTCTGTTGTTGTGTGGTGATGCAGGTGATCGACTATGTCGCCATTCACTCATTCTGAGCGGCTTAGTTTCTTGCCATATTAATTAAATTAGTTCGTTATCCAACTGTCAATTGCATGTTCTTAAGAAAGCCAAATAGCGATAGAATTTCTATGAAAACAAAAGCTGGTGAAAAACAATTTTATAGCAGCAAATATTCTCTTCGTTTTTACTACTAATAGCTTCGTTTTGACGTTTTATCAATTTGGCCGCGCAATGTAGGCGCGTGTAAAGAGCCTGGTACCAAATGATACACATACATCGCGGGCTCGGGGAACGAAACTTTCGATTTTCGAATTCTGCAAAGATTTTCTACATTTTGCTGCAGTTATTTTTATCATTTCTTTCTGTGTAACAGAAAAGTTTGTTTTTTTTCCAATACAGTAAAGATAAAAACATTAAATCTTGTTTATTTATCCTGTAAAACTCGGTTGAATATCCACGGAATTACACGAAGTAATTATAATATTAACGTACCGCTGACTCATGCAGTAACTTTTTCATGTTTACTTTTCATTATTTATAAACAACAAAACATTTAATGAGACAAAACTTGTAATATTTTGGAAATTCAAACTGGTAAAACTATGAACCATAACCTACAAGCATGTTTAAATTTATTATTATAAATCAAGTGGAAATCTTTAGAAATGTCGACCCACATGCACCATGCAAACCATGATGATGGTACCAGCTGCCAATGTGTGGCAAGATCAGCAGCATATTCTCAAAACCTGGATGAGCTGGATTTTACCAGAGGAATTTGGTTTGCTGCAATAAATGGTGAAATTGAAGAGGTTCAAAAGTATTTGGATAAGAAATCTTCTCCAGATGTGTTAGATAGTTCTGGTTATAGTGCTTTGGTAATAATACCCTCCTATATATTGTAAGACTTGTAATACAATTTAAAAGCCCACCTGATCATAAATTTCCAGAAAAGGTAGCGACGTAGCGTTGCATCATTATGTATATTATTTTCCCAAGGATGGTAAGAAAAATATATGCTGGATGGTTGCCATCCCGACGTCACCAGACAAAGCTCTTTGATTGGCTGGCTGAAATATTGGCCAATCAGGGAGCTTTATTTTGTGATGTTGGGACATCCCATATATGTTTATGTGCGACTTTTTGGCATTTAGTTTTTGCGGTATACAGTGTTATAGATCAGTATTTTCTTGCCAACCTTGGGAATATACAAGATGCAACATGCCACAGGCAAAAATGCACAACCTGTTCAGGGTTGATGTTGACATCCATGAACAATGTTGTGCTGCACCCCTTGGACAATGCTGTTGTTATGCATGTAAGTAAGCATAAAGATATAAGAGTAATTTACTCTAATCCATAATCACATAGTTCCCAAATATACATAAAAACCCATCCCCCAGGAGGTCATCGGTAGCTTCTGAGTATGACGCATGACATCTCTCCTCCTTTGCAAACGGTTGAGATACAACTTATAAGATTAATACTTAGAAATTAAAAGTAAGAAAAAAAATTAATGCCAGACTGTTCATTAAAGGTGATCTACAGTCCGATCTGCGCATGTGCACAAATGAGCCCACTTTTTATGATACAAACAGTTTAACTATGTTTTGAGTTCTTGAAAAGCCTGATTGTTGTTTCTTGATCATTTATTGTGGTTAGCTGCGCATACGCAGCTAACCACTATGTGAGAGACTGATGCGCGATCTTCCGTTTCTCTGTGGCCTTCGTGTCCGCGGTGTCCTGCTGCGCGGTTCCTTTTATCCTTGAAATACGAACCATCTGTAGACCACAGGCTAAGTTCACTAACGCTCATACCGTACAGAGATGTGTATAAATTCTTAGTAAAGTCTTTATTGTAATATGTTTTGTCAGGTCGACAGTCATTTCCAACGCATATACAGTAGAATCGAATATGTCGTTGTTTTTATAATCACTGCTTGTACAAGGGTCATTGGGATTAATCAAATCAAATCAAATCAAATCAAATATATTTTTGCCACAAAAAATAACAGTATAGAAAATATACAATTAAAGAATTATAAACGGCAAGGAAGCCCAAATTAATATTAGCGCACGGGGTCTGTTTTATATCGTGCAATGTCATATTTAAACACGACATATCAGTTTCATCAAACATTTTATACGTATTAGAAAAATATAGTAATTAATGATATAGCGCGCGACGATTGGACATATTTACGTTAGTCTATATCGAAGGAATGTTGACGAATGACTAACATATAGGTATATAGAATCGAGTATGTCGTTGCTTACATAACTTTGTAAGGCCACGTCATTGGAATCGGGTTAGTCGAATGTGTAAGTTAAGGCAAATAGAAAGCCAAGCACGGTTTACACAAGGATTAAATTAGGCAGTGGAATATTAGCGCTTTTTAGTGTGAAGTTTCACTTCACACTGTTGTGATGGCTGGCGAATTCACACGAATCAGTCAGACAGGCAATCAGATAGTCAGGCAATCAGTCAGTCATGGAGTAAACTTTCCGGGGGGGGTGTACGATTTATGTTCGCAGTGATTTATTGTACTTAATCAGTGCTTTGAAGGTTATTTAAGCAATTTTATTTATTTTCTTTAAATATTCTTTTGTCCTTTTGCCAAGTTCACGAAAATTTCGAGGAATCGTTGTCGTTATTGTAAATTTTTGTAATTTCAGAACATTCGCTTCTCATGTTGTGTAAAGGATCTGTCCCCCCGGAACACCCGATTTTTCTATAGCAGGGCAAATGCGCATGCGCTATGAAGGCGTAGATCACGATGCTAGGAAGGAGCGACAGTGTTGTTTTCAAATGCAGTATTAATTTAAACATTTCAGACGTGAATATTGAGTAAATCTTTGAGAATCTACGCAATATATAAATTTGTGTTATGCATGACGGTCTTTCAATCAAGTACTGATATATGTGGACGGTATATTCATTAATATCACTTATACAGAGCTAGGAAGGAGCGACGTGACAGTGTTGTTTTCAAATGTATAAACATTTCAGACGTAAATATTGAGAAAATCTTTGAGATTCTAGGCATTCAATTGAGTGCCGATATTATTTTCACGGCACACTCGTTATACAGAGGTACAGTATACGTAGGCAGAAGCGAGACAGTGTTGTTTTCAAGTATATACAGATTTCAGACATGGCCTGAATATTGTGAGAAAATCTTTGTACTTTGAGATTCTACGCAATAATACTATTATGTAGTATTATGTTGTGCATTACCGGTATTCAATTAAGTGCCCATCGATATTATTTAGAACGTATATTCATTATACACTGTCATTGACTGTATAAGGTGCTACATCACAGAATAGATGGCTACGCTCAGTACAAAGAGCGAAACAACTATTATTAAACAGAAGCGGGTAAACGTTTGTACGGCGTTTACGAAGAAAATAACTTGCGAGTCAGAGCTCCTCAATTAAATAAGAAAAACGAGGAGATAGCCAATGCGTTATCACCAACGTGTTATCGCCAATCGCTTGGCTCGCCAACAAGCTTTATGCAATAGAAAAAAAAAGCAAGGAGGTACATGTAGCCAACGTGTACCGTCACGGGCCTTGTCTTTCTTTACTGTCTAGCGCGGCGCCGTTGTCAACGGTGTAAACTCTTGTTCAGTGCAACGATAACACTACCAGATCTTACGAGAATCAATCTGTAGTATTCTGTAAAGAGAAGTGTTCAAATCTTGTCAAAACTGCTTTAAACACTGCTTAATTGTAAAACTATTGAAATCTATTAAAATGACATTATTCAACACATGCGAAAAGCTGAAAATAGACGTGACACTGGGAAAAGTCAAAGGTCAATGAAACTTGTTATTGTGAAGCATGTCACAATTAGGTTAAAATGCGGAAGCGGATGGAGCGGATCCGCGGAACGGATATGCGGTTAGAATACGGAACGGATGAGAATAAAATGCGTCCTTTTAATGATGTAACGACGTAGTCCTTATTATTCATAACATATCTTACACAGCTATTTCAATTATAGTTTTAGATAAATTTAGCATAGCAGTAGCCTCGTGGGGAGCTTTTAGCGACAGCTGCAAATGCAAATGAAAATTTAGAATATGCAAAATTTGGTTGTTGGCGAAACCATTTAAATTTTGAATTGTCTCGTGTAGCATCGTGTAGCATCACAATAAATAGATGAATTGCATCAGTTTCACAAGGCAAGTTTCTTATGTGTTAGGCTTATTTCAAACGTCACGCTACTCGTGTGCCGAGCGTATTAAAAGCAGTAAATAATGAGATGTAAGCCATCAGCTTTTCTAGGTTGTCGGCGACCATATATAGTTCCTGAATTGTCTTTTCAATTCGAAACTTCACACTATCCTTGGATCCCTAGTTTACTTTGGGATATATTTGTCGAATATTGAAAGCAAATTGAGGCCCCGTTTACACTATACCGGATTGCTATCGGAGTGGGTCAAATTTTGTAGGTATCGAAAGGCTGTGAAGATTTTTAATCTCAGAGACCCAAATAAACATGCCAATTCTGTCAAACTAATAAGCATTTGCTACTAACCATTGCTCCGTAACGGCAAAAGAAGATGTCGTGACCAACGAATCCGGCATAGTGTAAACAGGGCCTGAATGTTATTAAGTTTATTACCAATATATATGAGATCGATTATGTCGTTGTTTAAATAATTCAGTCATCACTAAATAAAGTATATGTTGATCGTCCTTAGATCTTCGCATGGACTATCCTTGAAACTCAAACTTCACGAAAATTGTATATACGCAGCCTGTAAACCTGATGCTTTGTCTTTGATGTATGCTGTCCTTGAACAAGAACTGTTCTTGTCTTAAGTATTTTTCGTATTGTCTAGTATTTCGGCGTGTGATGTATTTGTACTGTTCTGTCTGTTCAGTGTGCAAATTATTTTTGACACATTAAAATACTTTGTAACTTCTTAAATCTGTTTATATGCTTATTGAAAAATGCAAGTAACATATCTGATGTTCAGTATGCCATTAAATGTGTGTATAATATTTGAATTGTGTTCAATTTACTTAATACTTTCTTTCAGTAAATTCGGAATTTGACAATAGCAATTAAGGTGGAGTAATATACTAATATGGGCAACAAAATTGCTGCAACTTGCAAATTGAAATGTTTTGTCAACATTTCTACTTAAAATGCGTTGAAATCAGATTTTGTTGCAGAAATGTTGGCTGCAGCAATTTTGTTGCGCGTATTACTCCAACCTTGGTATTACTCCAGCTTTAACAACAATTAATGCAGGCTACCCACATGTACGCAGCGCGTACCTATTTTTATACTCTAGAAGCTTGAAAATATAAATAGTTGTCGAATAAAGCTCAATATTTTGGACACAAAAATGTAAACAAAGGCTTTGTTTACATACGTACTGTAGATCACCTTTAACTGTCCGTGCTGACAAATAATAATAATTTAATCAACAATAAATTAAGTTCTCAATAAAGTTCATAATCTTTAAATCTGCTGGGTGGACGCATGGTTCTTCCAGCGCGGGTAATGTAAGATGGAACTTGAAGCCTTGTTGAAGCTCCTCGGTTTGTGTAACAACTTCACCTTGACCAGGTTGTGAAGATGACGTGGCAGGTGGTGGATCAGGTTCCAAGTCTGACGTGGTAGGCGGTAGATCTTCAATTGAGTCTTGAGGGGAGTGACTAGTGTATGGTTGCAGTGGGTGTGCTTCGTGAATCGTGAATTGAGATGGTGCTGTTGTTGGTCGAATCTGGGTGCGATTTCGGCGAATAACATTTTTTTTTTTAATTCGTCTAATTCGACCATACGTCCACGGTTGTCCACGCAGAGTTGGTCGTGGTTTTGCATATGCATATGATCCCATAGGTAAAGAAGGCAGGGAAGACTGTACTGTTTTGTCATAGGAGGCCTTAGATGCTGCTCGATGGTTGGCAATCTCTTGGGTCACAGTTCGGGGATCAGGTGAATCTGGTGGTAGACTAGAACTGGTGCGTCTTCCCATCAGACGTTGCGCCGGAGAAAACGAATAACCACGTGGTGGGGTTTTGCGTATGTTAAGGAGGGCAAGGTGGTAATCTTGTGACTTCTTTGAAACAGATTTAGCACCCTTAACAGCAGCTTCCGCTTTTCCATTGCTTTGTGACCAATAAGGGGAAGAAGTTATGTGCTCAAACCCATACGACTGTGCGAAAATCTGGTATTCTCTCGACATAAACTGTGGACCGTTGTCTGTAAGACAGCACAGAGGGATGCCATGTCGTGCAAAATGAGCTCTCATGTGCTGGACGATTGTTGTAGATAGGGTATCTTTGAGTTGATCTAACTCATAAAAGTCACTATAGTGGTCCACCGTGACAAGATAATAGATCTTGTTAAGCTCAAATATATCTTGTGATACACATTGCCAGGGACACGTTGGTACTGGATGTGATAACATGGGCTCTGCGGCGGCTTGGTTGCTTTTCCAGGCCAAAAAACAGACTCCCGTGCAAAACGAAGGCAACACTCAGGACCTCTACGGGATTGGTGAATCTTAACTAATGTCTCAGCTCTAAATGACACTGGAACGACGATGCGAGTGGATTTGAGTATAAGGCCATCAGCGATGGTGAGTTCATTTCTGAAGTTTCAAAAAGAGGAGTTGTTTAAGTAACTGCTGCTTTGTTTGTGACGTTAGCTTTACCCAAAAGCCACTTGTCAAACTTGTTAAACGCTTCCACAATAGCAAGGCACTCTTTTTCAATTTGAGCGTAGCGCTGTTCAGTCGCGGTCAGGCTTTTAGAGCTATAAGTCAACGATTGAAGGGGCTTTTCGTCAAAAGTGCCGTCACTTTCTTGCCGAGAAGGCGGAAGAAGGGCTGCCCCAAGGCCGTAGTCCGAAGCGTCCACTTGGAGTACCACAGATGCGTTCACATCGTAGTATTGAAGGCAAGGTGCAGAGGTTGCTAGTGACTTGGCTTCAGCAAACGCTTTCTGGTGTTGGTTAGACCACACAAATGGCACATCGTCCTTGGTAAGGGCTCGTAGTGGTTGTATGACGCTGCTCAGCCGGGAACAGAATTAATTTGCTCAGATAGTTGATAGCCCCCAAGAATCGGCGGATTCCCTGCTTGTCATGGGGTGTTGGTAAATTCGTCACAGCTTCAACCGTTGTTGGATCTGGTCGAAGGCCATCTCATTCTGGAGTAATTAGATGACCCATAAAGGTGGCACTTGTCGTCATAAATTTCATCTTGGCGGCATTGATCTTGACATGATTTTGCTTAAGGCGTTCAAGGACTGCGATAAGATTCTGGTCGTGATCAACCCTGGCCTCTTTATCTGTGTCACCACATCCTGGAACTAGGATATCATCCGCAATGCTTATGACTGTGAGGCCTTCAAGGACCATGTGGATCCGACGCTGCCACTCTTCAGATGCAGAAGATATCACAAACGTAAGTCGCGTCCATCTATAGCGCCCCCAAGGGGTAGACATAGTGGTCATCAGGGAGGAGCGGGAAGTCAATGGGATATTCTGGAATGCTTCTTTTACATCGATAACTGTCATGCACTTTACATTATGTAACTTGTGCAAGTTCTCCTCCAAGGTGGGAATGATGTATTTTGGCCGACGTATTGCCTTGTTGAGGGTCTGCGATGGATCTAGACAAACACGGATCTTGCCTGGCTTGGTTGGTGTTGCCATTCTTTCTCGGATAACCATATTAGATATCCACTCAGTCGGTTCTGATACTCTTACCAATTGCCCTGTAGCCTCATAAGAATCTAGCGCTGCCTTGATTTTATCAAGCTTGGAAACCGGCTGACGATGGACAGGAGCATGGGTAGGTTTGACATTTCGATCAAGATCAAGGTCAACCGGTGGACCCAGGTGTCCTATTCCTTTAAACAAAGAGGGGCATTGTTGAGAAATGAAGTCCATGGTTAAAGCCCCATAAGGTGGCCAGACTCTTTTGGTTATTACGGGTAGAGCTGGTGGTGGTCCAATCGCTGAGGCAGTGATATCTTGCTCTGTCAAGGTTTCATTTGCAGCCCTCCAAGTACATCCGCGAACGAAATCGACATCAAGGGACAGTGCCCCTAACTTGACCAATCGGATGAATAGATGACCCCGCATAAGGTTGCAAAACTGCATTTGACGGCTCGAGACGTGCCCATGGGATGTCGAAGGGTATTACAAGATGCAACTGAATCAATTTGAAAAAGGACTTTTATGGAATCACCAGGCTGGCCCGATTGTGGTCTTGATAGAGTCAGCATTACAAAGTAACTGTTTCCGCCTGTTTTCGGGTGCTGCGTGGTTGAGGTCTGTTCAGGCTGCTTCTGGTTTGAAATGACAAAACATGACTGCTCATGCTTAAATGCTTCTTCCCAACAAGGGCGAGGTGGGTCTTGGTTGAGCAACCTGACTTGTTCCCGTTTGATCTTCCTATCTTTGGCTGCCTGCATGCACACTTTGGCTTTGGCAAAGTGTTTTTCGGCAGTAGCTACAGGTTTTCCCGTGCGCAGGACATAACTCACGAGGGTGACTTTGCTTGTTGCCACAGTATCAACAGGGCTTTAAATTCATATTCGGCTTGGCGGGCCTTGCTAATAACTTGGGTAGATCCCTGGATGCTGAAGTGTAGTGGACTTGCTCTTCAGTTGTCGAATGTTGGAGCATTTTACTTGTGTTCTGTGCTGCCTCATAGGATAGAGCTTGACTAACAACGAAGGCTAGGGTGAATGGAGGGTCCTCTGGCTTTCTTTGACCATCCCGATAGAAAATATCCGCGCGAAAATATGGCTGAATGATTCATTAAGGTTGAACAGAAATTTGTCACGCATGAACTCATCAGATTGAGCTCCAAACGGACAGCGGCCTGCTGCCGTACGAACCATAGTTTCCCACATTGCTGTTGGCGGTTGTGTCATTTTCACCCAGAAGTGATAACGATCTTGTATTAAGGTGCTCGCCCCAACATAATGCTCCTTGATTTTCTGTAGCCATACCCAAGGTTTTTGTTGATCATCTGCTAATATTTTTGAAGCAATTACATCGTCAAGCGTGTTCCATTCTGAGTTTTGTATAGCTGTCCAAAGTACAGCTATTTCGAAAGACCGCTTAGCTGCGATTTAATGACTAATGGTCATTCGTTTGAGCAGTTCTATCTTTTGTCGGATCTCTGTACCCTTCGAGCAAACAGTAATCATGAAACCGAGTTTCCCAATGTCTGAAATGATCTCCATTGGCCCGAACCGCTTGCATGAACGTCCAATATTGGTTTCTCGTTCTTTGGCATTGCTCGTTTGTTGTGTTGCTTTTAGTGATGCAATTCGAAAATACAAATTTTCAAAATTCAAAATGGCGGTCGAAATGCTCGCACGATTTCGCCGATTTTTTGTTTGTTTCTGAACTTCTAACCAGTGTTTAGGCGGCGAATAAAGGTAGATTGCACCTTTATAATTCCTCGTTTCGATTTATCCCACTCTTGACACAATGTTATGCGTGTAAGTAACTAAAGTAAGCACAAAGATATAAGAGTAATGTACTTTAATCCATAATCACATAGTCCCCACATATACATGAAAACCCATCCCCCAGGAGGTCATCGATACCTTCTGAGTATGACGCATGACACTGTTAACAATATTTACACTCTATCAGTCTGTAAATCACTAGATAATTTTCAGTCAAGATCAATCAAGCGCCTCAGTTGGCGACTTTATTAAAAGTTGAGCCCACCCTAGTATTGCATATTCACCAGGAAGAACTCTCGAAAGTCAGACACTCTCTGACTATAAATGGCTTAATATGTCGTCACTGTTCATATAACAAAGTTCAAATTTATCTTTTTATAGCATTATGCAGCTCGCCATGGTCATTTAAATGTTTGCAAGATCTTGTTAATATCTGGTGCTAACCCTGACAGTTTAACGCGTGCTGGAAAGGCCAGTCCATTACACAGAGCAGCTTATAGTGGACACAGTGACATTGTAAAAATATTAGCTGAACATGGAGCACAATTGGATTTGGTTGATATTGATGGACAAACAGCATTACACAAGGCAATGCTCATTTATTATATATATATATATATATATATATATATATATATATATATATATATATATATATATATATATATATATATATATATATATATATATATATATATATATATATATATATATTTAGTACACTCACTATGACAGGCCCTCATTGAAACGGGAAAGAAGAACGGATAATGAGGGCCTGCAAGAAAACCTGGCTTTTGTGACTAATTATTAGACACCTAAATAGAGGCTTGTTAAAATTGACCAATAAAAACTTGGCTGCATGCGGAAAACCCGTATAAAAAATGTATTTCCTCCACAATATTCTTCACCAAATATTTGGGTATGACAAAATCTACAAACATAAGCTACTCCAAAAATTGGAAATGCCATTTCATGGGTAGCCTGCGCCGCATACTTCAAAACACGTTTTATCATGATAAAATATGTATTTTGAAGTATGCGCCATGCGGCGCAGGCTATTTCATGGGGAGATGCCGTTGAACCCCCCTTGGTGAGATACCTTCCGCTTACCATACCGCCTACTTCTTTCGAGAAGCCTTGTACTCCAAATTCTATTGGTAACGCCAAGTCAGGGAGGGTTTGAAGCACTTATATACTGTGCTTTAGTTATACTTTTTTTGGTTATGTAATTATAATTCGATTTTTTAGAGTTCTGTAGTAGTCATAATTGTGGTATTATACAGTAAAGTAGCAAACAAGCTAGGTGAAGTGTATGGACATATATTGCCATAAGGCTATAGTATAACCCCCACTGTTGCATGGTGCATGGGGAAAGACAAGTAAGTAGGGCCCTGGCCCCTGATATTATATATAAACGTTGTAACCAGAGTCATCGTAGGTTCGGGAGGGAATTTCCTGCTTTCTGATAGTGCTTTGACCCTACCGTAGGGGAAACGACAAAACGCGATCCCTGGTCCACGAACTGCCTTTGTGTATACCTGGTCCGTCAACTAGATTCCTTCGTGAAACACTCTCGATTAGGTGCGTTTAATATATTCTTCGATTTAACCAATCAGATGTGACTATTGTCTCAATTGAGCATGTGGTGGTTACGTTCACACACGGAAAAGTTCCAATCCATTTAAATACTACTTGTGAAATACCCAAACGAATGAAAGTACTGTATTTAGTGTTCCTCGTAATTTAGTGTGTATTTGTTAAGTAAATGTATTTATTCAATATATAAAATTTAGGATGGTTTAAACTTTTCCGTGCTCATATAAGTGCGTATGAAAAACCCAGGACTGGAAAGCGGCTTTTAGCCTGTCTCCTGAATCTCGGTTTCCTAATTTTTTAATAGTCCTGCCTAAAGCACCTTAACCCAAAGAAAGCAACAGGGATAGATAAAATCCCTGCCTGGTTTTTAAAGCACTACTGTGATGATCTTACGCCAGCGATACATAGTATCATAACAGGCAGCATTACCCAATCCAAGTATCCCACTGCGTACAAGCATGCAATTGTAACTCCGGTACCAAAGATACATCAACCCAAAGATATGAACAACGATTTCAGGCAAATTTCTGTGCTTCCTCATCTAGCTAAAATGATAGAGAAAATCCAGTTGGAACTCAACTCTCATGATTTGGCAATAAAGGA